TTTTTTTGGTTTTTTGTTTTTTTGGTTTATTGGTTTTTTGTTTTTTTGGTATTCCCTCTAAATTGGGATAGGCTTGGATCTCACAAAATTGATCAAAAAAGAGCTCAAAACCTCAATCTTGAGAGGTTTTTGCCAGAAATCACTGTAAAACACAGTGTTTTTGCATCATTTTTTGCATGAAAAACATCTCCCAGGAGCACCCGTTCTGTAATTTTATTGGCGAACAATTTTGCTTCCGGCCAGCTACCATTTACCATAGCCTTTTCCAAGCCCCCGTGCTTTGCCCTTACCCGATCTAATTCCGCCACAAAAAAGCAACCAAAAATAGGCCTACCAAACGTCACTTTCTACCGGTAAGAAACGTTGAATCATTGATGTCAACTCCTTCACCAACAGTGTCCTCTTGCGCGCTCCCCCGAGAGCGGGATGGGCGGATATACATTGAGTGTTTGGGGGATAGATTCACCAAACCCAACACTAGAGTCTTATTCCAGGGAGGACGGGAGGGAATCCCACCCCTGAACTCGCGAGTGGAGATTCACCACACCTTTGATCCGCGACTTGGAATGTCCTTGGGAGACTCCATAGATGTAATCTGGTGCATTAACAATGAACAGTTAACACATACAAATACAACAAATGTATACATAAACCCATGATATATTTTTTTTTTCTGATTCATCTTCGTTTGTGCCAATATTCAGTGCAGGGTGACCCGTGATTCTCGAGGCTCGGAAGTTGGAGCTGCGCCGTGCTGGGCGGGTCGAAGCGAGGCCCCGGGATTGGAGGGTTTGGACAAGTGGATCATATCGATTGGCGGTTTGTTTGTGTTCAATAAATGTTATTTGTTTTGATGTTTTCATGTGTGTAATAAACCCGGGAATTTGTGGGAAAGGGGCTCGGTTGCTCGTTTTTTTGGACCAGGCCGGTAGACCGGCATGGTTTTTCTTTCATTTGACCCTGAGTCCGTTGGGGTGCATTGTGTGTTTGTTTGTTTGTTTGTTTGTTTGCTTTTGGAAGATGTTTTGATGCAAGGTGGATGCCAGGGTTATTTTCTTGCCGTTTGTCAGCATCAAAATTTTGACCGGGTAAGAAGGTATGATAATATAATATGAACATGATTTACGACGCAAGATATGAAAAGGAACCTTTCGGATGTACCGGGATTGAAGTGACCTGACTGACAAGTATATCCCACATTGAGTTAGTCTTCGGGTGGGGTGCTAACTTGAGACACAGGTCTTAGAACGCATTCGAATAGGGGGTGCTGTACATGTTCGAAGATTCCACCTGTCTTCCCCCTTTCAGGGCAAAGATAGACCTATAGGGGCTGCGCAGGGGACCAACGGACCCGGGTCTCCTGGCCCGAGCGTTTGTCTGGTATGGCCGCAGTCCTCAACCGTTCTCAAGATTTGAAGATGGAGTCCAAACGCTGGGGATCCAAGTACATTCTTCTGAAGGATTGGAGACACAGTTATGTAGAATTGGAGGGACAAGTCTACCTTCTGAGAAGGTACTTGAATCCCTACAGGGAAAGGAAGACGATGTTACCATCCAACTGGGTTCCCAGTTCAACTGGCTGTGTCTTGCGAGACAACGGTCAATCGATTCATCATCTTCTAGGAATGTAAGCTGGCCTCATCCTCCAAGTACAATGGTATGATCGGCTGCTTTTGCTCGACCCTTTCAGCTGGGAGTTGAGCGTTAAAAGATGTTAAAGCAGCTCGGTCGATCTACTTCAGCAGTTCCATAAATCGGGGTGTCCTATAGGTGCCCCAGACGAGCCACTCACTGGGGGGTCCAAGCACCACGCAAAGGCCTACCAAACGGCCGGCCTGGCCTAGTCCCATCCGGTGGATGTGCTGCGCGTGTCGTTCGGCAGAAAGAACTCCGGAACTGCGCAGCACGGTGAACTCCCAGTGACCTCCACCACGCCATGGGGTTTCAGTAAACGTGGGCGACACAAGCCCGCTTGGCCGGAACTCGGGACACCGTTTCGGGCATCCGGATGGGTCGACCGGGGAGGTGGTCCGCCGTCCGAAGCGCTTCGCCACCGGGGCTTCCCAAGACGCCACCGCCAGCGTCTTTCGCTCGGGCATATGGATCATATTGGCCGATCAGGCCAGGAGTAGTTGAAGTTAGGGCTTTGTGTGGGTTGTAAATGACAAACGCAATACTCATATACTGTATATATATATATATATACACTAGTATATATACATGAAGTTTTTGGGGAAACAACCACCAGGGGGGGGGGCCGACCCAAACTATGACACAGCCTGTTTGGGAAAGGGTATTGTTGCTGATCGGTTGAGGTGGTTGATTTCCGGGGTCTTTCTGGGGTGGCATCGATTCCAGTCGCATGGGTCGTGTCTCCCTAACAATCCATGGAACTGGATAATTTGCGCGTGATGTTTAAGATTTCTTTACCCGGACCCAGACGCTCCATGTATGCCATATATGCCTACATTGATTCCCAAAACCACCCCAATGTAGGCATATATGGCATACATGGAGTGTCTAAGTTAGGTCACTCAGGTTCTATAGATGTAATCCTCGCTGCCATTGACCTCGTGGCAGGCCCTGGGTGAATCCGCCCTTCTCTCCGAGGCGGGACGAATGCGGAGCTGAAGAAAAGGGCTTCGAGAGGTGGAAGATTGATACCCCACTCTCCAAGTACCTTCTCAGAAGGTACGACTGGACCTGCTGGCACCTACATGACAGTGTCTCCAATCACCGTACCTGAGAAGGTACGACTGGATCATACTGGATCCCTAGGGTGTTTTGAGGAACAAGACATGTGAAACGATGCGCGGACCTCGACTGTTTCCATGGGAAACCTGGAGTGAGACTTCCTGTTGTAAGACTTCTCTGTGCTGTGCCCGGTCTCAGACGTCTCCACCGAGGCCGCCGCCGCGGAAGCGCACGCCGCGCAAGAAGTCGGGTCGCCCCAGCGGAGCGAAGACCGGCGCTTTCCAATCTGAACTGATGTGTCTAGCTGAACTGATGAGGGCCAGGGGGTTTCTCCACCTCAGGAGAAGGTGGAATGTCCCGTTGTTTTGTTGGAACGCGACGGAACGGCCCGAGAAAGGTTCAGTCGCACGCGTGTTCGACCCATGCGACTGAAAGGATCGACCAAGAGGTCACTTTGAAGCACCAAGAAACTCATAGAACTGAATGACTCGTGCCTCGGAGTCAAACATGTTCTTTTCAGGCCATTTCTGGATCCAAATACAGCTCACGTTCGGGCTCCAGTTCTAGGCTGAGTTACATATATGATAGACCGTCGAACCAAGGACCTGACCTCATAAGAATCACCTCCTCGGTCACTAAAATAACGGACATGCCACCGCTGCTTCTATTTGGGCTTAGGCAGCTCGCAGGCAAAAACGACCACTGTGCAAGGGTCCACGCAAGTTATTCGACTAGTGCATGAACATTTTGTTGAAGAGAGAAAGGATATGTTCCAGTCCAATGTCCAGAACGTCGTCGATCTTTTGGCCTGCCAATGCGGCGTGGCCTGACTGCGGGGCTAATAGGAAATGGCTCCAATGCGTGCCTCTACGGAGGACTTCAGGAAGGCTGTTTCTGCAAATCCGCTGCACAAGTCCTGCAAACTCTAATCACTTCACCCATCCCTGAGGCACATCTCCAAACATTCCCGGACACTCCATGGGACTGCCATATATGCCTACATTGGGGTGGTTTGGGGGGTTATATAATGTAGGTAAATATGCCAGTCCCGGACAGGTCCTGTCTGGGATTGGAGTTCACTCTCCAACTATCCCAAACATCACTTTCCCAACACGCCTTTCACCCAATAACACTCCCCCACCGAAAAACTCCAAAGCAATGCGCAGCAAAAGCCTTTCGCCCAATGATGTCCATACTTGGATAGAATAGAGGGGTCGATACCTGGTACCTAAATATACATCCATGCATATGTTATATATACTATTTATATACTATATTTACTATTCAGGACCTATTGCTTTATACACCACACCTTGGGTATATTCCCTTCTACTCAACCGACCACGGCTGTTTGCCATCTTTCACGCCGGCCGCTTTCTCAGTGTGTCGAGGTATCCGGTGCATCCCACGGATCCCCTGGCGCCTCGCCACCCTTCGGCGTCGCTGAGGTCGTCGGTCGCCGTGGGATTCGGGGGTGGCGAAGCCGGGTGTCGTGCCGAGTTTCGGACGCGATACGGTAGAACTAGTTCCCACCCCAAAGACCTTCGAAGCAAAGGTACATGGTACCACTAAGGGCTCTTGTGGGAAGGCCATCAAGGAATTGTTAGTTGAAGCAGAAGCTGATGGTGGGTGTTCTAATTAACATGATTCATTTAGGTTGCTGTGCAGACGGTGGAGGCGTTAAAGTGTTCATGCAAAGCTTGAAAGCAACCACAATGCCTATCCATTCAGTGGATAACCTTTCACCATTCTTGGGAGATTGTTTTCCCATGTTTTCCCCAGTCAAATTGAAAGGTCGACAAAAAAGAGTGTCGAGGGTACAGTCAGTCTGGCGCCAGCTGGATAAAGCTAGGAAAACCCATTCTCCGTGCTTGGTCCTCTATGAAATTGTCCTTTGAACTCCAAGAAATGCCTTTTGGACCCTGATTTTCGGATTTTATAGAGAGTGACTACCCTTATGTTTTCTGATCTTCGGCTGAAGGGAGTCCGAATCCAAAGCTCGAAACAGGCTGCCTGGGGGCCAGTGAACTGGATTCACGCACCGAAAAACGTGCGACCCAAGACGCGCGAACGAACGCGCGAACGAACGCGAACGCGCGACCGAGTCGGCGGGGGGGGTCCGAGGAGTGAAATCGCAGACTTGCCATCGATAACATAGCCTTGCGCATACTTGCCATGACCTGTAAGAGTCACAACTTTAGAACAGGTCGCTCAAGCCCAACGCAGCTTTTCAACGAAGGGAACCTGTAACAGTCAAAAGATGGTCACATATTGTCACCTATTTTTCAGAAAGGCCTGCAATTTACTGACCATCATCATCCACATTTTGCAGGGAATAGGATATATGGAACATGAATCACATGTCTCTTTGGTCAATGAATGCTCCCTTGGAGACATGTCTCGCACGATTTTTCGCTGTGCCTTCGCTGTGCCAACCAACCAAGGCTTCTCTCGACAAACCGAGGAGAGGGACAGGATGGGTGGTTGTTTCTGATTAAAACTTAATTTGTGTTTCATTTTCCTGGGGTTCCCTTTGAGACGTCTGTCCCCTAATCCAAATATACCCATGGAGCCAGGGGTTAGCCAGGGAGTCCGAACGAACATGCATGGCCCACGAAGGCCTGGACTCATCCTCCTGGTTTTCAAAAAAGCCAGAAGGCCACACAAACCTCACGTTTGAAAAGGGTCGCATCTGCAGATGCGCGCAAACTATACCTCCGTTTTGAAGGTGGTTGGGGTGAGTGCCAGGGGTTCTAACCATCTTCTTGAGGATATGTGCCAGGAGCCCTAGGGATTCTCGTGCACACTCGAAGCCTTCTGGGCGTTCGCATTGGACGTCGAACGGAACTTCCATTGGTTCGCTCGGTGTTGGTTCCAATCACTGGTGAAGATTTGACTCGGTCCCAGACACTACTACACTATATAATATATATATATAACTCCTGGGGATCCAAGTACCTTCTCAAAAGGTGATTGCATATGTAAGCTTGGAGGGCCCAAGTACCTTCTGAGAAGGTATGTGGATCCCTAGGGTATATATAACATATTATATATGGATTCCTGTTCACCCCAAATGCCTTGGATTCTAAGGTAGGTCCACTTGGCTTAACCAACTCAGTCACCCACAACTGTTGGAACAAAACACTGCCACCTGTGTGGTGAGATGGTATGCTCATGTTGGATTTGTTGCTCAGAAATTTGTTGCTAAGAATCTGCTTGGAGAAGGTTCCCAATCAAGCAGTTTTTCATTTTACCAGGTCAAAACCCACACCTTACATAAAGGATCGCCGTGCACTCCTTAGGAGGCGAAGGCCACGCAACTCACCGAACAAGGCCTTTTCGGGGGCCCACGCGGTGGTGGTCGACGCTCCAAAGCGGTTGGGCTGAGGGAACCGAGCCCTGCGGCAAGGTTCTGGAATCGCCTGGCGAGGTTTGATCTTATTCCCAGACACGACCTGCCTGGGACTGCCATATATGCCGCCCCATTGACCCCCAAAACCACCCCAAGGTAGGCATATATGGCATACATGGAGTGTCTGGGATTTGTCCTTTATTGTTTTGTTTCTTCATTCTACCAGGTGTAGGGAGTCTTGCTGGGGAGTGTTCCCGTGGATACTCTAATCTGTAGAGCTTGAAAGACTCACTGAAAAGCCGGTTTGCTTGTAGATGCTTGTACGACCAGCAAAATGAGGTCCTTGATCGAAATGGACCTGTATTGAAATAGGGAGACCTTCCAGTTCGACCCGAAAGAAGAGAAATGGACCAAAAAGCCAGTTTGCCAGGGTGTTTTCCTATTTAAAAAACCATGGTGCTATATGTCTTTATGTGTGTGATCTCTTCACTCACTTCTCGGTTGTTGAATACAAGGCTGCCGACAAGGCCGGTCCAACAAGCCCGGGCTTCGTTGCCAATCCTGCGCACCGTCGAAGGGACCAGGTTGTGGTATCCAGTCGTCCAGCTCCAGTCGTACCTCCGAAGGTTCAGAAGGTATGACTGGACCGTCCAGACTCTAAACCCACCCCAGTCCCACCTTCTCAGAAGGGTCGACTGCAGCCCCAGGGTGTGGATGGTTGGCGAGCTTTTCGATGGGTGAATCGATGTGCTTTGAACCGCTGGAACGTTTTTCTACAGTGACAGGCTTCAATATCGGAAAGCAAAAAAACTGAAAGGTTTCATCAGGTGTTTGATGTTAATTTCTGCCCTTTTCATGATTTTTGACTAGACTATAGGCAATATTTTGTGTTCCCTATAAAAGGTTAATTCCCTTCATGGGCCATGGGAGCCCAAGTTTTATTGGAGTCTACAAATGTTTAAATATATAGAGTGACAGCATTTGGCATCTGGCAGTCTGGTTGGCGCCTGCATGCACCTGCATGCGCTTCCACCTCCTCGCCAGGTGTCAGTCGACTCCACCAGTTGAGATGGCCCTCGCTGGAGCTGGAAGTCAGCTGCAATTCAGTCCACTGTGACGTCCGGTGTTCATAGGTGTCACAAATCCATGCCTCATAGGTGTTCAGTCCGGTGTGGTTTATATATATGTTCAGCACGGTGTTCAGCACGGTGTTCAGTCCGGTGGCTTAAGGGACCTCGAAGGATTCCAGGGGTCATGTTGATCGGATCTTCTCACCGGTCACTGGTCGGAGCGTGGACGGAAGCATCGCGCCATATCCCACCTTTAGGGCAAATCTGTGGAATCCTGGAGATTTGGGACGCCTGACATGCTTTGCTTGAGCGCTTAGTATGCTGTTTGGAGGTCTGGCTGTCTGGCAAGTTTTCCCCTTTTTTGAAGGATGGTTGCAACATGAAGGGATTCCGAAAAGGACATGGAAACTAGGGATTCAGCACGGGTCAATGTAGAATTGTATAATATATATATATATATGTATACTGTATACATATAAATTGAAGCTGACAATCACATGACAATGCCCTTTTGTTGTGCGTGGGAGAAGCGTTCAATCTCCAAGATCACACAGATTTCAAAGCTTTTCAGATCTTGCTGCCGAACCAAAGGCAGTGGCAGCCGAAACATCTGCGGCAGCTGCGCCAGCCAGCGGATGAAAAAAATGTGAAGCAGCAAAACTGGTACCGGGATTGAGTAATGAAGGATTGTTTTCTAGATGTTCTGCGCCGACCAGGGTCGCCCAGCACTCGACTGTTGCGAGCTTACGCAGTCTTCCTTCTTAGCGTGGATAGACGGCCAAATTTGAGTGCTCAGTTCAGAAGAGCTGTTCCCATCAAGAACGCCGTCGCAGGCAAGGGTGTTGACGTGTTGACCTGAAGCCTTGCGAGCTGCGTGCTGTTGCAAGTCTGATCGCCCATGACGACCGCATGACGACAACGGGTTTCCCCCCGAACGCTACATGGAGGCGCCCCAGGCTCGTCTCCGGTTCTACAGCGCGGCTACGTTCGGACGTTCCCTCCTTGCCAGTATGTCCGGGCATCCCATGTGTGCTGCGTCACCGCCGGGAGCAGGAAGGAACCAGACTCCTTCCTGTTGGCGTTTCACACCCCCAGCTTTCAGAGGGCTACTCCACAGGCTCCCCGCGCCCGTTTGCTGGTGTCGTTGTGGATGCCACACGTTCCTTCCATGGCATGCCAACGGCATCCATCAGCTGTTGGCCTGCTCCGTTTCTTCTTTCCGCTCGACCGCAGCCTCACGAAGCCCCACGAAACGCCCACGTTGAACACGCGGCAGACACGACCAGGGTGGCCAGGCCGCCTTGATCGTAAGCCACGCCGGAGGATGGATCCGTTCTGAATGCAATCCCTCATGATTAATGTATTGGATGTCCCAGATAGGATAGAGGTGAGATTCTTCGAACTCAAGGTGCCAAAAGAGATGGACGATTGACTGTCAAGTACCTGTTCTCATTGGTTGGGGACTAAATTCGAAGCCCCTCTTTCGAGTCCAACCGATCCAGAAAGATTCGGAAGTGATGATGTGTTTCTCGTAGTCGAATTCTTTTCGATCATACGTGGCATGTAAAGATCAGAAAACGCTTTTAAACACATTAAGAATGCGGAGCGGTATTGTTCTCTTCCATTCGTCCCCCAAAAAGGATTGTGACAGGAAGCCTTCAGCTACAGAACTTCTTTAGGTTGGAGGCCATCGCTAGTAGGTTGGAAGCCTGTAGGTTGGAGGCTATCGCTAGTAAGGCCATCGAAGGTTCTAAACTTGCAAGGTTGAGATGCGCTGAATGAGGAATTCTCTCTCTCTCTCTCTCTGTCTCTGTCTCTCCGGATCTATTCAGATCTCCATGAGTTTGGTCGACCAAGCTGGTCTTGGCCAGCTGAAGCGCCCATCAGCCTCAACAGCCGCTTCACCTCACTTCCACTACGACGAACGTCATTTGCTTCAACTGCAGCTTGGGCCTTTACGAAAACCCCGTGAGAAAAGGCCCACCACGTGAAAACTAGTAGGTTTGGGGTTGAAGAGATTGGTGTGTGCGTGTCCACCTTACATATCTAAATATGTTCAAGTCTTTTGTTCAACTCTTTTTGCACATGCTGACTGAAAATACACAACATGTGAACATACACAACATGTTGGACAGGAACCACGTGCATTGTACAGCTGTCTTCATGGAACTGACGGCAAATCAAATCCACAAGAACCAGCCAGAACCTTGTCAGGAGCAAACACAAACACCACACACACAACAGGGGGCTAGAGAAACCATTATATAACACACAGGCAAACAAAGACTGTACCTGAATCCATGTCAGTTCTTTGCTTTTGGCATCTTTTGGCCAATCATACCCACGCCAACTGTAGCAATCCCAAAATTCGTGCCAGAGATCAAGTCTCTATATAAATATATAATGTATATATGAATATATTTAGATATCTTTAGTTCTTTCTTTTCCAGAGCCTGGCGTTTGGTCCTCCTTGGCCTCACCCCCCTTTACAGCGCCGCGTTCCAACGCCGGCTCTCCTCGTGGCCCGGCCCAGCTCCCCCTGTCCCGGACCGGACCGGACGTCGCGACGAACAACGAAGCCAAAGCACGAAAGGTCTGGCGTTTTGGGGAGAAAGCCACTGTGACGAGACACGCACTGCCGGCGACGGACGCTATGCAAAAGTGAAGAAACAAACACCGAAAGCGAAGAGATGAGCAGACATGGTCCACCTACCAGGATTTTCGGGAGCTCCAGGTTTGGACCCATGCCGCAGCCCTGGAGGCGCTGGGACATGGAGCTCCAGGTGAGCTTTGCTTTTGTGAGCTGGCGTGCTACATGAGGAGTGACACCCAGCCATACATACTTATGATCCTCCATGCAGGTTCAAGCACGCACAGACAGAGGCTAACCTGCAAGAACACAACCTGCCAGGACAAACATGCCAGCAATGCAGTAGAGGCTTACGGCAACAAAAGTTGGACTGGAGTAGAGGCTTGCGGCTTCGGCGCTTTCCACCATAAAGCCAGACCACAAGAGATCAAGGACCGAACACAAACATCCTTGTTTACATCCGCCCACTGTTAGCAACCGAGGAACGCCCCTCACAAAAACCATTCACCTGACGGCGGTTCAAACACCTAGCGTGTGACTGTAGAAGCAGGACTGAGTAGTGATTTGGTTTCGATGCGCTATCAGAAACAAGTAGCACGGACGTAGTCTTGCGACACGTCAGTAGCACGCTCCTGTGCCCGGAGTTCTTTGTACTGTAAGATGTTTGCCATGGAACTGTGGCTTTCACCTGAAGAGAAGACACCGACCGAGGGATGATTCCAGTTGTGCTTGGCCGGGGCTGTTCGAGGCATTCGACGCCCAAACCGACCCGAGACATGTTGGAGTGAACCTGGAAGGGGAAGGGGTCCACAGCATGGATTTTAAGGTTGGAAAGGTGGCTGAAGGATGGCCAGTTAGGCCTGAAGGATGGCCAGTTAGGCCTGAAGGATGGCCAGGTTGGAAAGCATGGATTTTAAGATGGCCAGTTGGTTGTGCGTGTGTGTTTTTAAAGAACAGGCCTGGCGGGGGGGACGTTGGGGGGGATGCTTCTGCGCTGCCCGTTTGGTGTGAGCAGTATGGGTTTCCCCATGCCAACCAGAAGAAGAGAAAACAGACAACACATCGATGTATAGGGGGGCTTTCTCTTTATTTCCTGTGTGCTATGAATGGGTTTGGTTCACAAGAAGGTGTGCTCACACGGAACCGGAACCTACTGCGTTGAATTAAAGCAGTTTAAGTTTCTGACCAGAACGGGGGCGTGTTTTCAATTTTAAAGGTTTGCCAAATGGGTTTGCCATGGTTTTCCAAGGACATGGCTCACTTAAATAAAGATGTATATATTTAAACGAACAAGTGTAATTAATTGGTCTAGATCAATCGTTTGTGTGTGGCCTTGCGTTGCTGCAACGGGCTGGAGAACCGCATGCAATATACAGAAGCATTGTTCAAACAAACTTGAGTTTGCCACGGGCTCCATTCCATTCTATGTATATATATTAGGTTGTAATTATTTTTTTGCCGCTGCGACCGTTGCAAAATAATAATGCGAGAAGGTCGGCAGCACAAATACGGCAACATGGTGTTTGCCGCATGGTGTTTTTGTGACCGGTGTTGTCCAAAATTTGTTATATGTTTTTTGCTTTCTGTCGCCAACTGTGGGCCCCCAAGGATGGAAAAATTAAGAGAAAAAACATGGAACGGGGATCCTAAGCCTGGCCAAATACAAGTTCAATAAACCGCGGCTGCCACTAGTACCCCGATGCCTACTTGGAGTGCAGTTGGCACGTTTTTCTTCTACTCAACTTAACCTGACCATAGAGTGATTCCATTCCATTCCACTGGTTCACCAACACCACACAATTGTTGAGTTGTCCTGTTGTTGGTCGTGTTCCTTCCCGGATGCTTTTGGACACAACGTGCAAACAATGCATCACGACTTGGCCAACATAACTCTCCACACTTTCACGCCTCAAACACACTGCTTGGGGTCTCTTGCCGGGATAAGATCTTGTATTTCATGGTCAGTGGGAAACGGTGTAACAATGCGTCCGTTCCCTGGCCAATCGTCAATGCGTCCAGGCGTTTCTGTGCATTAGTTGTTGTTTGTGCCATTGTTCTGTGGCTCTTCTTTTGGGCGTGCCCGCAGCAAGCTGGAGTTTCGATCTTGCACCTTGTGGTTGCAATCGGCGCGATCGGCGGGCTACTTTGGCTCTCTCATGGACCCCGGGCGTGAAATCACAGATGTAGTTCGACACCCGGAAAGGCCGTCATGAGCCCCCCTTCCGGGGAAGACGCGCCTGCAGAGCAACCTGGCGAGGTGCGGAACGGAACCGTCCTCGCAATTCACAAAGGTGGAAATCAAACGGCTAATGACAAGCATGGTTCATGCATATACATACACAATCGCACATACTTGTGTGGTAGCATGCGGCATGCGGCAGTAATATTCCAATGCACGGTGCGTTCAGAGCTTGCGACCCAAAATGCGGCCAGCGATTCCCAAGTCTTCCCAAGCTACGAAATATACAGGTGTTTTGATTTGAACTAACATTCAACTGCTGGGAATTGACCGGAGCCCCTGGCTATTGAATCAGCAGCCCGTCGTACGTACAGCATCGTACAACCATATCACGAAAGGTAGCCCTTTAGGGGATACCTTGAGTTTGTCTTGCGAAGCAAGTGTTGGCGCGTCCGGGTCTAATAATTTATCATTCAATTCAACCCCCCCCCGTTTCGAATTGATTTCTCAATACAGACCCGCCCCCACGCCCCCTTGGAATTGATTTTTCAATACAGACCCTCCCCCCCCTCTAAATTCAATTCTCTCCTGGAGAACGTCTTCGTGAGCCTCTCATGATTTCAGGGTCGTTGAAACCCTCTGGAACATTCAGAAAGAGTGCATATGAAATTCTAATCACGAAAGGTGTTCCGCGAGGGGATACATACCTAGAGTTTGTTTTGTGAAGCACGTCAATTCTCTCCTGGGGACCGTGTTCGTGAGCCTCTTATGGTTTCAGGATAGTTCGATGATCTGGGCCATGGGGCAAGTTTGTTTTCTTCAGAATTTTATTGAACATTTCAAGAGCATATGTTTGAACATTTCGAGTGCATATGAACATGTATTTGCGACAGGTCGCCTCCGAGGGGATCAACCACCATGTCGAACCTTGCATTTTTGTTCCTGCCTCTCGCGTTCTCTTCTCTTCCCGCTGTCCTATCTCTCGTGTTTCCCTCCTCTCAAGTGAGAGGTCTGTTTGTTTCACGCGCGAACACGAATTATATACTACTGGTAGTAGTACCGGTTTGTGTTTGTTCCTTCAAACATTTGCAGCGGCTTAGTCGTGTGGTTTTAAACAATTGGTTTTCAATTCTATTGAATGTTCATGACCAGTTGGCATGACTAATGGTTCGACATCACAGCTGGTGATGGTTGCCAGTTGTTGCCTCTTCGTTTCGTGTGGTACCGTGGTGGATGGCTGGTGCTGTCAGTGTTGTCAGTGTTGTCCTTGCCCGGGGCATTTGTCACGTTCCAGCCGTGAATTTGCGCAGGCGTTGTCAACTTTGGCAGCAGCTCCAAAGTGGTCAATTCCCAGGTGCAGAGAATCATAGTGACACAGGTTGTGGAGACATGTTGCCAAGAAGAATAATCGCACTTCTGTGGCCGTTATACCATTCCGCCCCATTTGTGTATGGAAATTGTCCGGGGAAGAGCGGCACAGGGAATGGAACTAGTGCGCGTTGAAAAGTTTGGGGGGTGAAAAAGAAGGAAACACACATCAAGATACTGCAATAGACATCCCTATACTGTGCCATATATGTATGTGCAACTAAAGTCCCGAGTTTGAAAAATTTGCACCCATCCCGCTGCTACTGATACACCATTGGGCTTGGCAGTAGTACGGCACGAGGCTACGCCGCCAGGACTGGTTGTCGTCATTGGTTGCATTCCGAAGACCACGTTGGGAGAAAAACTGCCAACCAGTAGGTGGAAAAACTACGTCAAAAGTTTGTTGCGCATCATTTGCGGACTCTCCACACCTTTCCGCGTAAAAAACGCATGCGGCAGGGCATCCAGAGAGGGCGCCAAGAAGGTGCATCTCTCAAAGAAACATCAGCTGGTCAGACACCAAGCTCAGACGATGCCAAAACATTGAAATTCAGAAGCAGGAGTGCTCGCGACCAGAAGGTGGAGAACATTGTAGAACGTGGTTTTCAACATGGTGATGATGACCCTCCTTTAATGTTCAGGCTACTTGTTTTTTTCAACCACTTCAATTTTTTCCCAATCAGTCATTGCCCGATGGCCATCTCCGGTCTAGTTGTGTAGTTACGAGTCCAACAACTCAACGTTATTTTTTGTTCAGAGTGATTGTCTAGTTTCCTCATGGGTGCATCCTTTTCCGAACTGGATTTTCATTTTGTTCCGGATAATCTTGTCCCGGTTAATTAAGCAAATCCAAGCTTTGACCTAGCACCGTTGCACTTCGTGCCTGCTGAGGATCGACTGGGTGTTGAGTCTCCAGGGCCTGGTGCCTACACGTTCCGACCTTGGGATGCCACAAGTGGACTGGAGGACCCCCCATACACTTGCAGAGGCACTCTTTTATTGACAAAAACCGGGGAATAGTCCTGTTGATATATTGAGTGTGGGTGTGTGGAAATATTTTCCAAGAGGCTTCCGACCTGCGGTGCGAACATAAATTACAAGGAATACCCACTTTGGGAAAGGACACCATAATAAGGTCATCATGTGGGCCCGTGCAGCGGGGACCAACGTCCCAAACTACGCCTCGAGAAAGAGCTGGTTGTGGGCCCTGCACTGCACTTAGGCCCCTGATGAAACACAAGGACAAGGAAACCACACTGATTCACTGACTGAATTGAGCACGCGTGATGAACCCTGGTACATGTTGACACATCACTGGCCCAGCGCTGAAAAACTAAGGCCAATACGGCAAAGGAAGAGTCCCAGCTGCAGCTTCGGGACCCGTATCACCAGCGGGGTTTGGTGGGACAAGATGCTGAACAAGGCTGAGCAATTTCAAGGGAAGGAAACCTGTGATGAGGCTGTCATGCCAATTGCGACAACATCATGGAACAGTGCAACTGACATCACTCACAAGATCGGGGAACATTGAGCAAAACTTGCTGCGAGGTTTTCTGTACAATTGTTTTTTTCCGTTTAGCACCGTTGCAACCATGTACCTTGCCTTGTACGCCTTTCGCTGGTTGAAATCACAGAGGGCACACCCCTCCGTCGTACATCGCCAAATTCAATATATGGTACTCGTACCGCCGACGCCGACCCATCGATAATCAAGGTCGGACATCATGCGTTCTGTCGACGACGACGGTTTGTGTGTTCAGCACGTTTTGTTGATGTGTGGACCAACAACAACCAAAAACAAAAAAACATGCAGGTTCTTCAAAAAGACCTGTTTGGAGAGCCCAGCCGTCACCTTTCGCAGGCCTTTGATTTAGAGACTTAACCAATGGTGATCTCAAGATGGGTCACTTTGAAGAAGCATGGTGCAGGTTGCACCATTGCGGTAACAGGTGTCTTCTATTTTGTGGGCAATGTCCCAGGTGTGGCTCAGTCGCATGACGAGTTCGCATCGGTAGGACCAAGACATGCAACAGCTGTCCCATGAGCTCATAGATTTTTTAATTTTGGAAGTTAGTTTCACTATCCCCACCCCCTTAACCATTGTTTTGAGGGGGGGGCCTGAAAAATGTAACTTCCAATTCCCCCCCCCCCCCCCCCCCCCTGAAAAATGTAACTTACCCCTCCCAGGCCCAGCATTGAGGTACATGAAGCCGGGGGGGGAGGGGGTCTAAAAATGTAACAACATGCCTGCGAGGGATGTAGTTACATCATCTGGACCCTCCCTTCTTTGGGGGGGGGGGAGAGGGGCGGGGGGGGAAGGGGTGTGAAAAATGTAACTTGGAGTGTGCGAGGTTGAAAGTTACATTTAATAAGCCCCCTCCCATTGGGGGAGAATGCATTGTGCAGAGTCTTGTGATGTCATTTGCCTGCGATAGTAGCAGGAATGGATCAAGAGAGAGGTCGTATGATGTTGTATGAAGTAAGAGCTAATCAAAGACAATCAAAGCGAGAAAATCAATGCAGTCAGAACACAGGGTGAAAAGGCATGTGTACATGTAACATCATGTTACATATGCCAGCTGCGCAAGCACATTCCAGGTGATACTGCATGCTTCCAAGGCCTGGACACACCTAAGTTACAATTGCTTATGGGTCCACAGCACATCACAACAAAACACAACAAGTCCACCAAAGCACTCCAGTTGAAAAGGTATGTTTAAATGTAACATGTGACAGCTGCACATAGCACAGATTAGGTGAAAATGCATGTTTCCAAGACGTCCACATGTCTAAGTTACATTTCTTTCTTGCATTCTGGTCCAACACTGCTGACACTGTGGCACAGCAGGTCTAGAATTAAACGCACTCCTCCCACAACATCAAAACAGAAGAACTCCAACCAAAGCACACCCAGTGATAAAGGCATTTAAATGTAACATATGCCAGGTGCACACAGCACAGTCTGGGTGATAATGCAAGTTTCCCAGGCCTGCGCACACCAAAGTTACATTTCTTTCTGGCATTCTGCAGAGGAACCAGCTGATGAGAAGAGTTTGCGTAGTCGAAGAGCGCAGTCGAAGAAGAAAAGAGCCCATACTCTTCAAGCAGCCTCACTGAGTCTTGCGTAGTGTTACCTTGAACCATCCTAGACCTGAAAAAATGTAACTTACATTTTTTACATATTTAGTTACATTTTCCCTGGAATAATGTAACTTGCATAAGTTACATTTTTCATTAAAAGCCTAACAAATGTAAGTTACATTTTTCCAGGTATATGTAAAGGGCTAAATGTAAGTTACATTTTTTCAGGTCCCCCCCCCTGCTAAGGGGTAGGGATGTTTCACTACGTTTCACCTATATGTGGCGATATGTGGTGGGCCAAAGGCTTCAATCAAAAGACTGGTTCAATGAATTTTTTGCAACTTCGTGCTGCCTGGAAGCCCAAGTTTTCAGGCATCACTATCCCTTTTTGGGGTCCCGTGCGCCAAAGCGCTCGCAGGAGTGGTCGACGCCCTTCCTCCGCTCCGATGTGTGCAGTCTCAGTGGCTTCGGGAGCGGGAGGTGCCCCTAAATGGGCCAATGGCCTGGGGAACAGCAGAAAACATGCCTGTAGGTTTTCCTTTCAAAAAGGCGTCCCACATGCCACTTGTCTCAAGCAATTTCTTCGAGGTGGCCGGTCTGTTGTAAATAGCGTTCCGGCGTTTTGGTTTTGCAGGTGCTGCTGCTGTGCTGGTGCTGGTGCAACATCTCATGCCAGGGATGACAACATTTCCCAGGGATGGCATCATGTTTCAGCAGGGGTGACACCAGGTCATGCCAAGGATGACATCATGTCATGCTCAGACAGACATCATGTCATGCAAGGGGTGAGATCACGTCATGCCAGTGACATGATGTCATCCCTGGCCCTGTTATGACATGATGTCACCCCTGGGCATGATGTTGTGTCGTTCTGAGCATGACAAGATGTCATTCTGTGCATGACATCATGTCATCCCTAGCATGACACGATCATCCTTTGCATGATGCAGAATGAAACGCCGATCCAGAACCAGCACCCTCACCATCACCAGCAAAACTAAGCGCCGACCCGGCACCAGCAGCAGCCGCAGCAAAGCCAAAACGCCCATCCAGAGCCAGCACCTGCACTCATGCCAGGGATGGCATCATGTCATTGCAGGGTGACATGCTGTCATATTGCGCATGAAACCGTGTTGTGCAGCAATGACCATCATGTCGTTTGGGCAGCTTTGGCTGGTCCTGCCGACCTTGCGGTCTTACGTTTGTGTTAGGCAAAGCGGGCATTTAGCTGATAGATGCTCCGCATATTGGCGAACTAGTATGATGTTGTGTGCTGCGGTGACAGCCGGCCGTCCTTGGCGTGTCCTCTGAACCTATACACGTATCTGGCGTCTCTGAACCTATACACGTATTGAGCGACTGAGGGTCGCCCAGTCATATGGTCCATGAAACAGGGATCCGAACTTGGAACGACCCGCAGGAAAAAACCCGACGACTAGTTTTGGTCATGGTTGTTTTTTGTTGCGGGTCATGAAGCAACCGGTGCCTATGTAGGGGGGACAGATGGGGTCATGTTTTCCGGAAGACGATTGATATTTGATGAATTGTGCTCCTTCTGTGTCTCTCAGATGCCGTGCGCCCTGCAGCGACCTGCTGGCCATGATCGCTTCAGCGGACGCTCCCTGGGCCATGAGTGGGAGTGGCAGACTGACCTGGGCCATGCCGTCCACGTATCATGGTAACATGACAATGTTTGAGGAGTGCGTACCACGAGGTTCAGGTATTGAACCTTTTTTAACTAGTAATTGGAAAATGGCCACAACTCCCGGAAAGTTGCTGGTTGTTGGCCTAGGCTTCCTTTTGAGCAAACCCAGTCTGACGGAACTTGCTGTTTGAAACCCTACCATTTGGCCATTTGGCTTGCTTCCCCTGCGAATCTCCAGAAAGGGGTCCCGCAAGGTCCTACCAAACTAGTGATTTTGGGAAGTGCGAAGGTGATGACTGGCCACTTCGATTGGAAGGAAAGCAGGGCACTGGTTCGGACTTCATTTGGAATCCAGGCGGGGCCATTCATTGTGTGCCGTTCATGGGCTGACCCTATCATGCCAATCCTCGACGCACTGTGTACATCATTTGCCCATAACATGATTACCATTAATCAATCTACGCCCTCCAAACTGAAAAGGCTTTACCATCCTGGTATAAGTGGTGATTGACAAACAGTAAATCTTAGACTTTGTAGTTGAAACACAGAACCCAAAACTGGACCACTGGAGGGTAATTTTCCTGAACACACAGGCTGTTTTCAGGTTCTATGTTAAAATTTGCCATATGTACCCAGGTGATTCCAGGTGTGCATGTATGTTTTCTTGGGAGTTGCCAGCCTGGACCAACCAGCTGTGCACTGAGGCGCTGCAGTTTTTACCCAGAGCTAGTCGGGCGACCATCGGACTCGCGCGGAGGTGACGGCGGTGAAGACGGGGGGTCGTGGGCGAGAGGATCCAGAAGTGGCAGTTTGTAGGGACCCCAGGTTGATTGATATGTGGTCATATATGTAAATAAGTCCCTTCAGGTCAAAATTCAAAGATGTCACCAGTGATGAAACCCTTGGCCTTCTGGAATCAAGAGGTTTCATTTTATCAGAGAAGGGTCAGGTTGATGGACATTGAATGACGTCACACACATGGAACCGCACACCCTACCTGTTTCCACTTCAACTCCATATTGTGTGAATATGGCCAGGAAGAATGGAGCAGGATCTAATTATAACCAAAGCTCAGGTACAGTAGACGCACCTGCTGTCAGTTTGCCCTTGGTGATTCCCACATGCATGATCCACCCAACGCAATCTGACTTGGTTGCTGTAACTCACTATAGCGTCTCAGAATATCGCTCTCTACATTTATGTGCGTCCATGATGTGTATATGATGTGTACATTTGTCTACACCAAAGATACCAAAGAGGCAATCCTTCGGCAAAGTCTAGACATTGTTTTAATCTTCCGGCCCCAGTGCTTGGCAGTGGATTCCATCTCAAGTCGATGCTCTGCTAATTTCCCTTCACACACCTGTTTCTATCAATAAGCCTGGACTTTGGTGAATGCCAGCTCGCATGTTAAACCATTGTTTCTCAATCCTCCTCAAACAGCATGAATATCAGCCAAAACGCTGGACCCCATGTGCCGGAAGGGACGTGGTCCCAGCGCAACCGGATTTGCGCGGAGCCTCAACCATGAACGAAGGCGTGCCATCATTCCTCAGCCTGTGTTCCAACGGAGGTTGAAGAACCCGACAGGCGATCCCATAGGTACCCCAGCAGGGTCCTATAAGGTCATTGTATCTATTGACTGTTTTGTGAAGGATGGCACATGGTCGATGTGAACTGCTCTTAGGACCGTGCTTGGACCTTCCGAAGGTGCATGTTCAGAAACTATCTCAGTTTGCAAGGAGCTGTTGATCGATGTTTCTCGTGTTTTTTCTCGCGCAATTTGTTGATGTGTTGCAGGTTCAAGGCTTGCAGAGCTGCAGCAATGTCTCCTTTGACTTTGCTGGTGGCAGGTCACCATGCAAGAAGTGGTACAATTTGCATATGGCATATCCCTTTGTCACCAGGTCAACACTGAACAACACCTCTTCCTTGGTTTCGCTCCCTTGCTTACCATATTCCTCCACTGGAGTCCAGAGCTGCCCCTTTGCGACGGTGGACCGTGTGGCCCCCCGGAGCCGCCGTGGTCGCCATGGCGGCTCCGACAGTGCCCACGGTGCCCTCGTTGCAGTTCGCCACCTCCGCTGGGCAGTATGACGCTTGGTCCAGCGGGCGGCCCTGAGGCTTGCAGGTTAAGGGATGTCCCATTCACAAGCCCTTTGGTGTGTCCTATTACTAAGCTATATCGCAATCTTTTGCATAAGCTGAGCGTTCGCCTATTCAACATCTTTGTGGCTTTTGACGAGCTCCGGTCACGCGAACCCTTCTGTTACTCCATTGATGGGTGCACAGTGTGCGGGATCATGAGTTTCTTTTGGCGAATTGCTTGGGACTCGCGTGCATGTTCCTTTTCAATTGATACTTCACACAAGCCTCGTCGTTTTGGGTCGACCATCGACCACTCAGCTACATGAGGTTTGCACTACCAAAAGGGTGGAGCCTAGAGTTGAATCATTTTGAAGTGCGCCAGCTGAGTAGCACCACAAGAAGCATCAAATTATATCAAGTTCACATCGCAGCCGGTTATATAGAATTACTGTGAACCATCCTTGATTCAGGGGGTTGGTGATGTTTTCTTGCGCAAGAACCCCAGCTGTCCACACTTTTTCAACTCCGTAGGTCCGTAGCTGTTCAGAAAGAAGAATCCACCTTGATCTTGTGGCCGTGCAAAATTGCTCCCCAAAAACTGGCACATCCTGCCGCTTCAGATGGGAGCAGCCTGCCAGCTCTATAGACCCTCCAGCTCTGTGCCGTTTCGCAGTGACGAGTCCAGAACACCGAGGAAAGCTTCTTGGTGGAGAAACTGCAGGGCCTCCAGGAGCAGCTTTTACAGCAGCACACCCATGAGGCCAGTGTACTGGTGTTTTTTTCTCCCCAATAGCTGCAAGCTAGAGGGGTTCTTACTTCTCAATGGTGTGGCTTTGGATCGGCGTTGGTTCTTTAGATGCCTTTTACTTCTGCGTCGACGCGTAGCGAACGGCGAACGGGTGAAGCCTGAAGAGTGGAAGTTGCAATGTGAAATACCATGTGAAACCCAAAGAGGGTTGGTTCAAAGACAAGCTGACCTTCCTGGCCCATATCCTGCCTCAGAAGTCGTCGACAGGTTCTAGGTGCTTTTGTTGTCAGGCTTTACTGTAATGTGGGAAGTGTGCTAGGCTTGGCTTTGACATCCCAGAGTCTTGCCATCTATGAACCCAGTCAGGCCAATAATCTTTGAACCCGGACCCCATACTTGGTGGATATATGTACCACATAGTGTACCACATGTATCCACGTGTGTTGTGTCTACCTATATGTAGGCACCGTCGTATTTGTCACCAACCCTCCAGTAGCCGGGCTGCGGGAGATCACCGGGCCTTGGAGCCGCTCTGAGCCGTGGCAGGTGTCACACCTCCGCAGTGCCAATCTACTGTTCCTGGGCGGGATCGCCGTCGATCGGGTGGCTTCGCAGGGCTCAGGGTCGACTCTCGGGGTGTCGAACAACAATATATTATATAGCCCTTAAATGCCCTTTAAGATATAGGTGAAAGGGTGTGTGATGCTTCGATGGACCACCCCTGATCAGGGGGCCCGACGTGTTGGTTTCTTTTCTTCTCCCCCCCACTGGGTGAGCCCAGTTCGACCGCAAGTTGCCAGCGGAATCGGCGCGTGTCACGATCGCGCGCGTGTTGAGGCCCCACACTGTTCGACCTGGCAGCGCGAGAGGTGGAACTTCCAAGACAGGTTGAAGAACCTTACTTAAATGGGCGGTGGATTTTACTAAGTAGTTAAGAACCTCACGCGATTTACACAAATTTACTAATTAACTTAGGTTGTAACCTTGTTTAAACTAGGCTTTTGAGAACCAACAGAGTTAAAGAACCCTATAGGACTATCCCAGTTCGGTACCTCAGGTTGCGGGTTCCAAGCGATATAAGGTCACTCTCCACCTCAGGTCCCATTCGACTCGATCAGGTCACTGGTGTCCCTTCGATCGCTCAGTCTTTTGGGGGTTTTGTGGATGGTGCTTGGCCTGGCCTTTCGAGGCGAGGGTCTCAGGCATCTCCTCACCTCTACCTTCCCAACTGAGGCTTCGTGAGGAGCTTTTGAGGGCGCAAGGCGGGGTGCAGTGCATCATGATTTGAAGAAGGAGGGTTGATAAGCATGATGCCAATCATCCAGATCCGAGACGTCGTTGTGTCATGCATGTTCTGGAAAAGGGATCCCGGTGTGATCGCAATCATCTGCCCGGTGTGTCAATACGTTCGTTCATCCAACTTCATCTCACCGCTCCCAACTCAGTTTCTTATCAATCGAGATCCTGGAAGGTTGCAGCATATCCCTCACAATCCAGGTATGGCATCTTTACCTACCTTCACCCCTCAAATTGATAACCACCCCAACGCGCACACTTGTATACAGGTGTGACACATGCCTTAATTTCGCAAGAGTCCCCATGCGCGCCCGCCGCTGTCGTTTTTCGCCTCCGAAAAGGCTTCACCCGCGGGACGGCGCTACCGGGCTCTAACCGCCCCAGCGCCCATTCCAGCCCCACCCACGGCGGCCATTCGCACGGACTGGGCTTCGGGCTGGCCGCCTTCGATGGGGAAGACAGCGAGGGCCAGGAGCCAGCGAAAGCGAGCTTGGGCGAAGATGGAAAGGAAGAAAGAAGAGATGGAGGAAAAATCAAGTTGGTTTTAAATGTAGCTGAAACTGAAGCAGGTGTTTTTTCCCTGGGAGCCTGTGGTGGATCTATGAATATCTATGACCATGTCCTAAATGCTTGTGTGCGCGGCTTGGGTTCCTATGAAGTGGCCTGATGGTGATTTTGCCATTGGATTTCGGAACATTGTATGGCTTCAATGTTCCCCCTGCCACACGCCCTTCGTCACCGAGGGATGAAGAAAGGGCAGAGCCGCCGACAGCTGCGACGGCACGCTGGGGTCAACTTCTCCTGAAGCTTTGGGACGCCGGGAGGAATAGCAGAGATCGGGGTTGGTTCAGATATTTCATGATATTTCTATTTGTTTAAATGTGTTTAACCTTTACTTGGGGTGAGTTCATGTCACCCACTGACTCATTGTTTTTCGTTCATGAGTTGAAACCACCAACCAGAGATGCACATACATGTATGGAGTGCTTGAACATCAATGGCGCCATCTTGAGTACGGAAACACCCCTTGGCTTCAGCTTGGTTTTCTCATGAACGGCATGGGGGAACCCTTCTCTGCAGCGGCGCCTGAGGAATCTGCTGACAACTCGTGCAGCGTCTCCACAGTGAGCGAAGAGGAATTGGAGAATCTGGTGATGCGTCGCTTGGTGCATACCTGGCGCGATGCGACCTCCCACGAAAGCGACCCTCCCTGAACAAGCTCGGAAGTGGAGGGCATGCCCCCTGAAAAGACGGATGATTTCGTGCGCAAAAAATCCGGCTGTTTCCGAGAATCCAATCGATTCCAGGCTCCTCACCTTGCCTTTGGTGGACCCAAGTTGAGTTCATGGGTCATCCTTAGGGCCTTAGGGTGAAGGTCTATATTTTCCCTATACCAGGGCCTTCGGATAGGCGTGGTTTATAGACACCCATGAACCTCTAAGGAGCTATTATTGGACACCCCTTACTTAGGGCCTTCATTTGCTCTTTGCTATTGATTCCCCGGCCATGTTCCATCAACCTTCCATAGCAAAATGTGGGCTGGACCTGAAGATCGGGCCCTGGTACATGGGTGCATCCCCTTCCAAGTTCCTTAAGCTAAATCCAAGTCATCATGGAGGTTCTCAGGTCCTCAGGTCAGGCCCCATTGACTACAGGATGTGGACACCAAAGAGGGATCCCCTTCTCATGATGCTGGGATTGGTTGGCTTTGAGACTCTTCATCCCTTGATATGATCTCTTGTGTAGCTTTGGAGGGTCAGTCGAACCTTCTGAGAAGGTACGGCTGGATCCCTATAGGGCGTTACATCTACTGCATTTTTGCTCTCCCTGTGGCCTCCCAAATGCAGCTCCTCAGGCAGCTCCTGGTCAATGCCTTGGGACAAGTCCTTCCGCTGCTTTGATCAATCAGCCGAAGATCTTGTCGATGTCATGTTTTTTTGTCGAAAACGTCTTGAGCTGATTTTTCCAGGACACGAGGTGGAATCTGATACCCCAGGGGTCTCAAATCCTCAGGTTTTGAGGGACCGGTCGGGCTGTTTGGAGCGTCTGGCATTGAAGGCCAACTGTTCGAAGGTGTGTGTTTTTAAGTGTTTCTATTTGGTGCATTTTCTTCGGCTGGGTGTGGCTGGTTGGCTGATTCACCACACGCGGTGGGAGGACTTGCCAGCACCCATGCAGTGTGGCTGGTTGGTGGAAGAGTGCGAAGGTGAACCATGCACCATTTTCAAGCATCAAAGCCTGATCGTTCAAAAACAGGAAGGCCAGAGTGCATATCACATAATATACTGTAATATAAGTCTGGTGGCGAATATGCTTGTGAAATTGCTGTAGGTGGTTGCTTCGTGCTGTCAGCTTTCGGGGGATCATGTTTCTGGAGTCCATCAAGAATCAGCGCCTAGAAACAACTTGGCAGCCTGATTTGTTGATCGAATGCCTGGGAAAGATTCCGAAAAAAGAGCGAACGGCCACGTGTGGCATCAGACATGATAAAGAATATGCACGCAAAATAGAAGGTCAAATGAATCAAATACACCCGGGAAGAGACCCACATGGAACCTGTGCCACTCTCTACTTGGGGGCCACTATCTAGTGCCCCTTGATGTGGGGACGGCCTGGCGAGAAAACCCGCCAGTGCCCCCCAGCCCACCAACCGTGAGGAATGCACCACGGACGGAAGATCCGCGTCTCGCGCACCGAGCAGTCTCCGATGGCCCCTCGGTGGCGGACCCGAAGCAACTGCTAGCTACATGCATGTGGCTCCGGCCCAGAAGCCTATTGTGGCCAAGGTATGCCAAGGTCAAACATCAAGATGTTGAGTCTGTCCTATTTCCTGCAACAGTCAGGAAACTAACAAGTCTCACTGTTTTAGAGGTCAGAAAGGCCCTTAAAAACCATCATCATCCACCGTTACTGGTAATGGAATATGCCCAACCAAGATGTGCTTTGGACCTGGACTTGTTGCTGAGGTCTCTCCATCCATACGTACGACATGTCGGATCGATCGAGAGCCGCCCTTCCACCATCGAATTGGCGACAGCCGTGTGCCACCCAAACCAGTTCAAGGAATGAAGTGCCGATGCATTGGACTTGTTGCGGGGTTCCCGGAGACTTTTTTGGGGAGTCTTCTTCCAGATGTGTGGGGAATGGAGGGTCGGAGAGATGCCACGAAGCAACAGAGGTTGAAGAACCCGACTTAGACTGTCCCAGGTAATCGGTACCTCAGGTGACTGCGTTCGTTCAGGTCACTCTTCACCTCTGGAAGCTTCCCACCAAAACCTGTCACATCGTCCGATGCTCCACCGCGTTGGACTTGGCGCCTCGAGGCGATGCATATGAAGGACAAGGTGAAGGACGGAGATGGTTCTCTACTTCAGCATGAGGTACCAGATCTGGTGCCCACTAGGCTAGACTAGTCTGTACTAGGCTACTAGGTTCACTCGATTTCAAGTGCTGTGTGCTTTGAGATGCTTTGAGGCTCTCTGCTACTGTAGTGGTTTGATGAGTCTCATGGCTCTCCGGACTCGTTGTTTGCATGCATAGACCGGTTGCCTTGAGGAGCTCGTCATGTCGCCTGCATCTCGTGTGTATCGTATGGAATCTGGTTGATCTGGCGCCAGCCAAATCAGAAAACCACTCCAGGGGACTGCCAGTTTTGCTGATGATGTGGATCTAGACAGATCTTTCCGACCATCACTTGGGTCCCACCAACACCAAACCCAGTTGAAAACGCCCAATGCCGGCTCAGTGGCTGGGGAAGCTGGCTTCTTTTCAGGACGGCTCTTGCCTGGGACGCTTCGTCTTCGGGCCCTACAGCTGCCCGGCGAAACCACCGTGTGAAGCGAAGCACCCGACGGGTCCATGGCGGACGGGTCCGTCGGAGAACGGCCGGTGGTCGTTTGGAAGCCGGTTCGGAGCTAACAGGAGATCCTCTAACCCCATGGTTAGTGGGTGGCAACGTAGTATCCCATGAGTACGGGCAAAGCTCCATAGGAAGCCCGCTCCAAAAAAAGGGTTCTCTTGGCAGATGTTTCTTCCAAGTGCTCGTCAGACCTTGTAGTGGTGCTGGTCCCGAAGCTTTCTCCTGCAGAATATGGCCTCTGGAGAAGCCAAGAGACACCAAAGGGATGGTCCCAAAATAGATGGCACAAACCTCAAGATGTCTTAGATGTCTTGGGACCTTCATGGGGATTCTGCCGTCTACTCGCAATCCACTGGAGTCTCGGAACAAGCACAGGGGTGCTGTGAGTTGACTAGCAGACTTTGAGCACATGAGATGTCACTGGAGAAAAGTGTTCGGTGTTCTTCCCCACGGGGATTGAAACCAAACCAGCAAGACACCCCATGCATGAAGATACCTTTGGGGATGAGGTGTGAATTGTATTCATGTTCCATATAGTTTGTTATTTGTGTCTTGAAGATTGGTCTCGACTGATAGGCACTCCACAGTAAATGTGTTTGTGTCAAGAGTCAACCGGCCCCGGAGAATATGGTCTTTTCTTTTTTGGAACGATAAGTTTGTACCGCCCAGTGGCAGATTTGCCGCAAAGATGCATTCAATCTGGAACAAGCCTTTGGCGTGGGAGTGCTACAAAACAATGGATTGGTTTAAGGGAAAGTGGGCTTTCACTCCAAACCTATGGGATATATTGGGATTCCTTTGAATTTTCCGGGAATAAAGCTGCAGGGCTTACTTGGATGCATTTTTTGCTGAGGCATGTTCCCTTTGCTTTGGTCCGTGGTGGGCTGCGCATTGATTCTATGGGACTTGGTGACGATTCCTTTGGAGATGCCCCCTGGTGCTGCAGAAAAATGCATGCGGGTCTGCCGGGAGAAGTGCATGAGTTCCACCAAGCTTTTGGATAGGCCGTGACTGATTTAAACAGGTGGCCCGGCCCTCCGCCCAATGCAGGCATCCGTACCCCCGTTGTGATTGAAACTCTTTACATCTCTTTACTGATCATTCTGCCCACCCCGAAAGCCGAAAGTGGTTTGGAGAGCTCTGAGAGGTCGTCCGAAAGATTTGGGGGGCAGATGTGCAAGACATCAACTAGACTGTTAGGAACTGGAAGGATTGGAGCCTACGTGTGTCGAGGCCTGGGGGTGAGGGGTGATTCACCAAGTTCGGGACCTAAAACCTCGGACGACTCGGACGCTCTGCTTTTTCAGGACTGAAGGTGGGTGCTCCCTGCTCGGCCAGGTACTGTCTGGTGGTCTTGCAGGCATGAAATACCACATACACCGTATAATGCCTTGATGAGATGCTGGGGCTTTGTGGCTTTGAGAAAACGAAGGGGACCACAACACTTTAAAAGCAATGATCCAATGGGTGGGCATGTTTCTTTCCGCCATTCAGCACCTTGCTCCAGAATCCCCGCAGCCCCAGGTTCAACAACATTCCGCAGTTCATTGCCTCTCGGCCAACTCGCAGAAGTCTGGACCATGCAATTGCATCCAGAGAGATGTCAACGGCTTACTAGCCATGTAGACAGTCAAAGCACGGAAACACCGGTTGACCACTGAAAATGAATAGATTCCTCTATCAGGGATCTCAACCTTCCATTGTTTGGTGGTTTTCGGTTTGACTGGGGCGACTAGGACGAGACTTTAGAGCTTCACTGGCTTCAACTCACCCCGGTTACACCGGTTTGGCTTCGGCCCACGTGGTGCAGCCTGTGCAGCTCCAGGGCCTTTTTTGAGAAGTATGTTGTACTCCAATTGGACCGTGATCGAATATGATAGTGGTTCCCAAATAAGATAGAAACGACTTCCAATACATGTTGAAAGGGGTGTCACTTTTCTCTCGTATATTTGGGGGTCTTTAGATCGACTATATGCTAATTTCTCGCTTAACGTCACCTCCTTGAAGAGAGCGAGCAACCCCAACTCCTTCGCAGCCGCACCCACTAGTTCTTTGTTTGGAGTCGGGAGGAGTCTGAAGACTCGACCTGGTGAGTTTTGTTTTTTTGTTACAGTGGTTTCGGAGTAGATGGCGCAGACCCCATGATGTCCTTTAGATGAAGGCCATATAAACCACCAACATTGGGGTCTGTGCCATCTACTCTCAATCCACTATAATGCTACCTAGCCGGGCTCTTTTGCACCATCTAGTCATTTAGTCGGCGGGTCCTCCCCCCCGCAAAAGTTATTAACCTGAAAAAGGACCAGTGACCTGCGATACCTATGGTATAGTTTATAGGTGTCTATAGGGTTCTTCAACCTTTGTTGGATAGTTCTTTTCTTCCTGGCCGTGCCGGCTTCGCCTCAGCTGCGCGTCGCTGTGAGGCTTTTCTCTCAGCGCTGGGCAGGGTCACCTTCGTCTTCTGGTTCCTGGAGCGGCCGTGTTCGACGGCAGGGCATGCCCAAAATCATTCCAAATTCATAGACTCCGACTAACTCCGACAGAGCCTCTGTTTTGGCCGGCTCGACCTTTCTGAGTTGTTTGTTCAGCTGCTCGCTCCATCACAGACCCATCAACAGGATCATGTAAGAGCCAGTGCCTCATGCCTCATGTCCCCGCACCTTCATGGGCCTCCACCATAATACTATCCACCCCTGCCAAAAACGGGCAGGACATGCCCTTGAACGTGCTGGTGGGCGTGGAGATCAATGGCAAAGTGGAGCAACGGCCTTGCGTCTTGTTGCGCCGCTATTTGAGGTGGGAGCGCGCTGGTTCTGGGGAGTGGCACTTGAGTGGGGCACCCCAAATGGGGAGATAAGAGCCCACAACCCAACAGCCCCACAGCCCCCACCGTTGGCTGAAAGAATTTGCAAGACGCGACCAAAACTGGTGGACCTTGCAGTTTTGTTATTGTTTGGGCCTCCAAAACTGTCAAGGTGGCGACGCGCAGGGAAACAATGAGCTCGTGAATATGATGGCTGGAACATCTCCAGAAGCAACATCAGCACCAGTAGAACCACTCACACTTTCAGACAGTCAGAAACATCATCGCTAGGGCTCCAAGAGCCTCCTCCTCAGGTTTTTGGATCCTCCAAACGCACCTCAAACACCTTCCTTGGAGCCCTTAGGGCTATAGGGCATATCAAGAAATTTTTTAAAACAGACTCTGGATAAAAATTGACTCTGGGATGTCTTTGGGAATACTACTAGTATTTCAACACCAGCACCCCAGCACAGCCCCTGAGCAAAGGCTGTAGGTGGCAGCCTGTCAGAACACAAGTCAAATCAAGATTATCGTGTGAGAATGAACGATCAATCGCAAGCACAAAACTGAACCAAAGCGCAGCCACACACTTTTCTCACATAGTCCGGCGGTCTCGGGGTTGCAACTACTTGAAGGCTATGAGACATCTCCCGTCATCGTGGAGATTTCTACACAAGAGCATCAGCTTGACTTCAAGCGGAAAGAACAGCATGAGAACCTCAGTACCACACCAAGGCTCATCAAAAAGTCCGACGCGAGCCCACTCAGCAAAAGCAGCATCAGTGGAAAAGGGCTCAATCCTTGGCTTCGCAGACTCAGTACCCATAAATCCTGTCTATCCAAACTTGTCATTGTCAAGACTAGAGTCGGCTCAAGGCAAAGATCTTGAGGCTGCAAAGCCTCCACAAAGCGACTCATCTCCTCCGCTGACATCAGGTCACTCTTCCACATCATAGTGAATGGGTATCGAACACGTTCACCCATCTGGCACAGTGACTCCCCACAAAGCCTTGATCCAAAAAACTGACACATGTCAAAAGCAAATGCCAACAAATGTCAACATCCAAAAACTATCACAGCGAATGCCAACAAATGTCTGTCAGCAAATGCATTAGTCACAACAAAGCTTGAGTCCGGAGGACAAAAGTCGGATCTGAATCTTTTGAAGCTCAGGGCATCAAACAGTGCGGGAGCTTGTGCCGCCAGCATTGGCGGGTCGAGTCCGGCGGACAGGACAAGGTTTGAAGCTCAGGGCATCAAACGGTGAGTGCGGAAACGTGTGCCGCGAGCAGTGGCTGACCATTTCAAGCCTGTGATGTCGATGTCGTGCTTGTCGACAAGTGAGTCCAAAATATCGAATGGCACTTGGTTGGCTTCAGGGCCCTCCATATCGAAGTCCCACTCGAGGATGTCGTGAGGATGGACCCTTGGATGTGATCAGTAGCTTCAGCACCAATGACAGGTCAAGGTTTCGACAATCAAACACACACACACACCGCTGGCAAGGCCAAGCCACTTTGCATTCGGCAGCGTTTGGAGCAGGTTCACGGCCATCTCATCTGCCCATTGCCATGAACCAAATACATCAATTATCTTTTTCTTCCGCCCGGCTCTGAAAAGCTCTTGATCTGATTCCATAGGATGCAGCCACCTCACGTACCCCTTCTCTCCATCCCAATCCATGAGGGCCCCGACAAAAAAGGGCAAGGAAGAGCCACGCACTACAACCCAATCTCCTGGAGTTACATATGGGTTACGGCCACCTCTACAATGCTCCTCCGGCGGACAGCCATCAACAGTAATCAAGGAGTCGACCGGCTGAGCTTGGATATCAGCCCCAGGAGCAACTGAGATGAGAACATCATCTGGAATTCCCAAAGGCTGCACCGCATCACTGCCAGGTGAGTTCAAGCCAAATCTGAGCATCTCTTTGAAGTCAACGCCTGTGTAACCCCATCGATTCGTAGCGATGGACTCCAGCCACTCGAGTCCTGATTCGTGCATTTCGTAGGAACCCTGCGCTTGGAGAGTGCGGCCCAAATGCTTGATGAAGTTCATGTGGTCCGTGCTCTCCTTCCCGCCAAACTCGTGCTCGATGTTTGGCGGATGTAGAGAAGCAATCGTGTCCAAGTTTTCAATTGGAGCCAGGAGCACATACCTGCTCCAGTCTTCATCTGTGACATACTGCTTCCATCTTGCGTGGATTCCTTCTCCATCTCTCATCAGCTCCATGCAATGAATGTTCCGCAGGCGTCTGAACTCAATGCCAATAGTCCGCCGGATTTGCTCGAAGTCCGACGTTACGCCCAAGTGGTTCCAAGGTCCGATCTCAAAGCCACCTTAGTCATCAATGCTTATGTCCAATGATGTCCGACGGAAAGCAGCCCCTATCAGCCAAGAAACGAAGAGAGTTGGATGTTGGATACAATCTGCTCCAGCTGCATGAATGTCAGGTATGAGCGTCCACGCAATGATACCACCAGCCTGGAAAAGAATCCTGAGCACAAGTTCAAATGTCACCACACCAGCAATGAGTCACACAGACACTCAATCAATAATTGCGCAAAATGTCTGTCGATTGGTCCGTGGGAGTGACCCACAAGCGGAAAAGCAAACTGCATTTTGAAGAGCCGGGTGGACTTCATGATTGACAAGAACCAAATCGCAAAGGCCATCATGGTGGAGTTCTTGGTCTCCTTTGGCGTGTTATCTGATACGACACCTGAGCGAAATGACTGAATTAATACTGTCATGGGTTGAGGCTGTAAAGGTGCAACCGAGAAGCAAAACGAAAGGGGAAAGTGTCCGGCGTCAAGGACTGCTTCATGAAAAGCTCGGAGAATGACACTCGTTTGCATGTTGGCACCGTGCTTACAATTTTCTAAGACTGTCCAAACTCTCCATGGCTTGTGGTTACCTCAGTTCAACATCAGCGACGCAAAGAACTAGCTGTCCAGAGTCAAAGACAAAAAGGTGCTGCCAAGAGGCGAGGTCCTTGCCACCACATCCCGATCACGCCCACCACAAACCGTGCGCCGGTCTTGAACAAATGAGTACCAGACCTCAGCAAACTAGCGGTTGCTAGTCAAATCATGAAGCAGGACAGTATCCTACCTCCAGCCAAGGCGCATCCCAGCAATTGTTGGAAGCTTGCACTTGTTCTGGTCCATTTTGTCGATCGACAAGACCCTTGGACATGCCACGATAGTAAAATGCACAGACAGCAACAATTTCCAAATAATGACAGAACTGAGTAAGCCAGGCGGCCACTCATCGCCACTTGATCTCCTGGCAGATTCCTGTATCTTGTGGATCCCGATTCGTTGCGCTGCCTGGAATGCAAAATGCTGTCCCAATCGTCGGCGAATGGTTTCAATGGTATCTCTTTGGTCACGAGGAGTCCCATCCAAAAGCTGGGTCATGAAGGTGCACACACTGCAGCCTCAGAGTCAACAGGTGGGTCACACAATGAAGAAGACTCTCGTAATTAACTACTTGAAGATTGCAAGTAACCTGTGAAAAGGCTCTCGGACTTTGCCAACACAATCCATGGCAGCTCAACTCGCCAGCTATTGTTGAAGGTTCCCAAGTCCGCTGGCCTGCCATCTAGGTGGTCCAAATTCTGTTGGGTCCTGGAACACATGGACCTAAGGATCATTCGTCGGACACACAGAGCATAATAATTGACATAGTGGGGCAGTCCTCTCAAACCAGTATGCTGAATGATACCAGCTTCTCCGTCCGGCAGGCAAGTACAGCTTCTGAGCCATTGGTGACCATTCCCCATGTCGTTCTGCATATACCTCCAACCAGTTTCTTGCATCCTGAGTTGTGCAAGAGGTGCGGCTTGAGACTTTCAATGACAAGGCTCATGACTGATGCAATGTGCACACACACGCAAGCTCAACGTGTGCAAGTGTCCAAGTACTTGTGAGCACGGGGGGTATTCCGCACAGACTGCCAAAGGCCCATTTCCGAGCGTGACAGCACAGTCACTTTGTTCTTGGCGGCATCGCTGCGAGCTTGTTGCAATGTTCCCGCACTGACTCCCGTCAATATTTTGAATGCCTCAACACATACAGACACACCAAGGAAGGTAAAGCCACCCTGGCCCCTGGCCGCTTCCATCAAATGTGTCCGGCGGTGATGCTTTGGCATGGAGCTCCATAGAAAGCGCCAGTTCCTGACCAGACCAGGGTCGCACCGGAACCGCTCAAGACAGGGGTGTGTTTTCACACCCCTGCCACACTCCTTGTTCACCTGAATCTCCTGAGTTGCTGCACATGTCCGACATCATTGCTTCAAAGTCCAATGACCAAGTGTGACTTCATCAGAGCTGTCACTCATACATACCACCCAAATCACCCCAAATCCAAGATTCGATCTGGGAGAGTGACAGAAATTCCTCCACTCGCAGATGGGCTTTGGCAGCCAGAGCTCTGCTGAACACTGTTTTCTTTGTCAGGCCAAAAGAAATCCTGCCCACACCAGCAGTGGCAACTGCACACAAAGCTCGCTCAGCTCGCTGATATGCTTTGTGAGGATGCATTTCCTGAGCTAAGCCAGGCCAGGGGCTGAAAGACTCAGACCATAATGCACCATTGCAAACAATGGTTCTACAACAAATACATACAAATACTACAGACAGACATGGACAAAGTGTCTGCTTGAGCTCGATCTTCCCGGTCCAGCTGCGCAATAGCAAATTGGCGGCTTTTTGCTAAAATTCCCTTTGGGATGTCACTCGATGATGCAGTAGCCAAGCTCCTTGGACCCACATGAACCGTCAGACAAGAATCTAAATTATTAGCAATGAGTGATAAATACTCCGAGTGTCTGAAGGGCTTCAACAAGCTCTGCTGACGGCAGTTTCCATGGGTCCCACTTTGATATGCACTCACAAACCTTGATTTCTTCCTGGAGGGCCAATGGCTTGGCAAGCTCGGTGGCCTTTTCAGCTAATAGCTCTTCGCAATCAGAATTATTCTCATCT